ACACACACACACACACACACACACACACACACACACACACACACACATCAGCACATAGAAGTGAATAAAAAAGTAAAGCAAGAAAGCTCTTAAGTGTACAAGTGTATGTAGGGTTCCACTGTGCTATTCAGAACTATCACAAAAACCTTTGTTTTACAAAAGTGTAAGGTCAGGTCATAGATAAACATTATTTACTCAAGTTACACTTATGTAGACACACCTGAGCACCAGGGGGTGCTTCTGGTAATGATATTCCAGTGGGACTCTGAAGAATGACATACAGATCACAGTACTTTTAGGAATAATATAATGGTGTTCTTATGATGCTGAAGTCACCACGACTCATGGATAACTCCAGTACAATGGCATGAGATCTCACAGCTCTGGTGATAACCATGGCACACACACAGATCTGATCTGCAGCACAGATGTTAAGTATGCCTTGCCACAATCTGATCACCTCTTCCATGCTGAGGTCTGGGTCTTGTTCCACCTTTCTAACAGGGTGATGGACCCGCTTTGATGTTCCACCCCTGGGGACTCATGGATTCTGTTGGGTTCCAGAACTTTAGAGCAGAGAACAGTATCCAGACATTGGATCATTGAGTTGACAGGCTTGTAATACGTTACAACAACTTGTTGTCTAAGACTGTTCTTGTGCATATCCTTTCCCTATGCATCCTCCTCTTGGGTCACCATAGGTTATTGATGGACAGCATGGCTGACAGATGGCACAAGAGTGAATGAGACTGGAGTACTGATGGCAAGAGATTGGTATTGAATCCATTACAACCTCAGGGATTTGTGATCTGTGGTGGAGACTAAAATATCTTTTTTCTCATTCACCCTATTTTCTCTGAAGTCCCCAATAGAGGGACTGTTCTGGTTATGGAGGCTACCTCACTAAGAGGCACTGCCTTCAACTGGTTTCAGTTTCTGCTGCCGATTTCTGCAGATAGGAGCAATCTAATAAATAACAATATATTATCTCTGATCTCATGGAGGCTGAGTCAGAGGAGGTAGCAGACCCTTCTTGCTTTCTTAAATATTATGTTCCTTTACAAATGGAGGCTCCAAGAAAGAGCCATTTCCCAGTGTTGAAAGGATCCATTCCCTCCATGGCTAGTGAAAACCAATATTCAATATCCTATATCCAGCATGATTATGTACAACTGCTGAGATGTCTCCTAGAATTATAGTATCAGCTAAAGAAAATTGCAAACAAGTGAAAAAAAGATGTGGGGGGGGGGAAGCAAAAGTTTTCCAACTTTGTCTTTCAACACATATAATTCACCAGAAAATAAGTCTCCTGGGATTTTTGTGAGACAGCAGAATAGCACAGGTGACGCCCTTGTCCCTTTGGCAACAGCCTGTGACTGGATATCCAACTGTACAAAAAATATTTAGCAAGCTCTTTTTTGTCTAAAATTGGTCTTACTTATGGGTCTTTTGGTTCTGATTTACTGATATAACTACAATTCTCAGTGAATCTTCTCAAATTCCTGAATTGGCTTAAAATGTCTGTTTGGGTTGGGGGCAGGGGGCATAGATTCAAATGCCATGATTTTCACCTTTTTTCCTGGAGCAATACTATAAAACATGAAGTGAACAAGGCTCACAGCAATAGCTGCTCCCTCCCTCACATTAGCGTACTGTCCCCTTCATGCATGACAAAGAACAGACTATTACTTCACAGTTTAAAGACGACTATGTATTTCTAAATGAATGTCTGGAAAAATGTAAACTAGCCAGGTTCAAAATCTCACATTAAGAAATTATTGGAGGATTAGTTCTGTATTATTATTTATCATTTTTTAAACTGTACAATA